GGAACGCTGCTCCCCAATCCTGAGAACTGAGGGGATGGGGAAGAGAGCAGTGAAGCTCTGGGCTTCCACCTTTACATCCCTGCGTATCTCGTCCCAGTCCCATCTCCCAGCCCTGAGTTCCACTGGGCAGGGCAGACCCTGATTGGCAGGAGGTGGGGTGGGGGCGGGGCTTGTTTCCCAGCCTATCTCTCCAGCCACCATCCGACATCCGGTGTCAGACGTCCAGTCTGCGCGTGGGATGCGCAAGAGGCCGCCGACGCAGGTGGGGTGAATGAGGGTAGGGACAGGGGCGCACAGCTCAGAGTGAAGGGACGTGCTGATCCAGAGGGAAAGGGAAAGGCAGCGGGCCCGAGGACAGGCGACCGCGCGGGGAGGACAGGTCTGCATCTAGGAGGGAGAAGGGGAAAGAGAACACAAGCTCGGGGCAAGAGAAACTGGAGGCGGGAGAGAGAAAAGGCAGAGGTGAGGGCAACAGGAAGCCAGATCAATGAAGCGTCTCCGGGAGAGCAGCATGGGGGCCCTAAGTGGGAAGGAGGAGGCGGAAGACAAGACAGGAGGGAGAGCCTGAGCAGGGTGGGGGGTGGGGGGGATATTCTAATGGCTTGATCACAATGGCAGTTGAAGGGACTCGAACATGCCTCCCAGAATGTTCCAGAATGTCCTGCTTTGGTCGGTGGACCTTCCTGAGCTGAAGGCAATCAAGACCCTGTGGGCTCGAGAGGTGTTTACCCCTCCCTTAACTACCTAGAAAAACTCTCAATTGGAAGTTTTTTTGAAAAAGGGTTATGACCAGAGATAAAGTTTATCTTGATCTTTGTCATGGTGAACAGCTTACTAAACACCTGCCCTTCTTAGCACCCCGTGATCTGACCTCCTTTTGTGAGTTGCCCTCCTTCCTTTAAAGCCGCAGGTCCCCGCCCCGTTCCATAGTTCAGGATGGCGCAGGTACCCCGTTTTACCTTCCTGTCTTGGACCCTCTCATGTATGTGGGATGTCCATATGTATGAAATTCAACTTGATTTTCTCCTGTTAATCCATTTCATGTCAATTTAACTCTTAGACCAGCCAGAAGCACCTTGAACAGGGAGAGGAAAAAATTTTCTCCCCAATGGTGGTCTCAGGTCTTTGGAGTCACAACTCTGTGAAGCAGGTATTATGATGCTGGGCCAACCGAGGCCCAGAGAGGTTGCTTTGTGCCCATGGTGGTCAGGGGGACAGCAGGATTTAACCCAGCAGGCATTTGTTCCAGAATGGAACCCAGCAGAATGGAAAGAGAGGCATAGAAGAGGGTGAGCAGCAGTGAACAGAGGCAGAAAAAAGTGAAAGACTCAGAAAGGGACACAAGGAACAAAAACTGAGTTAGAAGAAAAAGAAATGGACACACAGGCAGGAATGATAGGCTCCAGAGCGTGGGGCCTGAGCAGGGAGGGAAGGAGAAACTGAGACCTGAGCTACAAGAAATCACGCATGGATGCCCAGCAGCTGCTGTGAGGCTTGACGAATCTTTATTAAGCTAGGGCCCACCAGGAGGACAGCTGGGGCAGGGTTGGGGGAGGCTGCAGGAATGGGGACCACCCGGCGGCATGCTGGGGGCACTCACTGATTCTCCTGGGGCACAGTGGTGGGGCTGGCAGCTATGGCCGACTGCACTTTCTCCACCAGCCCGGCCATGTCTTGCATCAGGGGCTTGAACCAGCTCTTGAGGCGGGCCTGGAAGGCCTCGGCCTGCTGACGCATCTGGCCGGCCTGCTCCTCCATCTTGGCCCGCATCTCCTCCACATGCTTGCGCACCTTGTCCAGGCGGTCACGGGCCTGGTCGCCCACCGCGTCCAGCCGCCCGCGCAGCCGCTGGCCCCAAGCCTCAGCCCGCTCACGCAGCAGCTGGTTGGTCGTAGCGTTCCGCAGACGGCCGCGCTCAACCAGCGGCCCGAGGCGCTCGCGGAAGGTGCTGACGCTGCGCTCGGCACCCTCGTGGATGCCGGCCTTGTACACCGCTAGGCGCTTCTGCAGGTCATCTGCGTCGCGCAGCAGCCGCTTTCGCAGCTTGCGCAGGTGGGAGGCCAGGCGCCCGCGCAGCTCGTCGGTGCTCTGGCCCAGCATGGTCTGCACCTCGCTGCGGTACTGCGCCACGCGACTGCGCACATCCTCCATGTCCGCCCCCAGCCGGGCCTGCGCCGCCTGCAGCTCCTTGGACAGGCGGGCCTGAGTATCCTTGGCCATAGGGCCCAGCTGCTCCTCTAGCTCCGACCTGTAGGCCTTCACTTCCTTCATGGTCTCCTCCATCAGCATCCTGCGGGACCAAAGGGCGGGAGCGCAGTGGAGAGACATAGGGAGAAAGACCCGGGCGGCGGAGGACGAGATGGGGACAGAAGCAAGACACCCAAAACTCAGAGAGAAGGTAGGCTGGAAGAGGCCAAGAGGAGACAGGCAGAAGCAGTCACGGAGCTGGAATGGAGGGAGACAGCGGGGAACGTGCCACAGACAGGAAGAGCCGAGAAAGAGAATCAGGGAGGTACAGCCAGGAGCTGGAAATGCAAAGAGGAAGCGAGAAATGAACAGAGACCCAGACCCTCCAAGTTGGTGACAGGAACAAAAAGAAACCCAGACCGGTGGAGGCGAGGTTCCTGAAGGAACCGCCCTCCAGGAGGGTCAGTGGCCGGGGCCAGGCACTCACGTCAGTTCCTGGGTGACCTGGGTGCTGAGCAGTTCTTCCTGCACCTGGTCAGACAGCATCTGCACCCAGTGCAGGTAATCCCAGAAGCGGCCCAGGGCCAGCTCCCAGGGCTGACCTGCCTGCCACCTGGCCAGCTCCTGGCCCAGCTTTCCGTCTTGCTCCAGCTCTGGCTCCTCCTGGGCCCAGCATCCTGCGCAGAGCAAGGTCAAGGCAGTCAGGATCCCTTGCCCCCTCCGGGCACACAGTACCTGGTACAGACTAGGTGCTCCACAATGCTCTGGAGCCTTTTATTTTTAGAGCACTGGTAAGCAGGAGGGGGTGGAGGGAAGCCCAGCCTGTTAAATCACTTGACAAGCAATTATGGAGTGTCCATGTGTACTCGCAGGGCCATGCTGGGATGACAGAGAATAAAACCAATCACAGGGGACACTTTATTTAGTGCTCACGATCTGCCTGGCAACAATGCTTTATAAACTGTTATAACTTCCATTTTAAGGATGGGTTAACTAAGGCCCGGAGAGAGTAAAACAGTTGCTCAGGGCCAGTGAATATCAAGATTTAAGACCTGTGTCTCCGGAGATAGGCCGGCAGAGGAGAGAATCCAGGGACGGAAGTGGGGCAGGTGGTACATGGGAGGTTGGGAGGGGGAGGGACAGCAGCCGGGGAACCAGAGCAAGTCCCGTCCCCCTACCTGCCAGGAGCGCGACGACCAACGCAGCCCACAGAACCTTCATCTTCCGGCCTGCGATTGGTTCGTCTGGGGGAGGGAGATATTGTCAATCAACAGCCAGTGGTTACTCCTCCCACCCAGAGCCCCGCCAACCCGTCCAGGCCTTCAAAGCCATGCCGTCGCTCCACATCTGCACCAGGCTAATCCAATCACAAACATTTACCACACGGCCCCTCCACTGGCTATTTAACTCCCTCATTGTCTTCTATCTCCTCTGCCAAAATTCCATCCCCCTCCCCCAGGGTTCAAATTCCACTGACCCGCCTGGACTTCCCTGTAAGCCCAGCTGGGCTTTCTAAATTAAGATTTTTACGTTCCTCATTCTACCTCCACATTCTAAGGCCAGTTTCATACGTAAACTCCTCCTTCACACATTAGCTAATTTAATCCTCATTTAGAAATCTCCCTTCAGTCGACGCTCTAGCCACTGCGCTGCCTGAGCCTCCAATGAACGGATATCTGAGTACGAGGGGGCACTCAGTAGGTGCTCAAGGACGGTGACAATTCATGGACTTTTGCTGTGGCTCACCCGGGTCTTCCTACAGGTCCTGCGGCTACCCCTCCCCACCGGCTGAGACGGACGCCCCTGCGGCCCGCCCTTCCCCGACGTCTAGTCCCCTCAGCCAATCTCACCGCCCTGCCCACCCCGCTCTGCTTCTCCCCTGATCCGTTGTAGGACAGTCACCTCCTCTCCTCCAGCCTGTCCCCCACAGACGCCCTGGGGTGGTCTCTGTGCCCCAGATTACCTCTCACCAAGTCCTGGAAATGTGCGTCCTTGGCCTTTGCTGGAGTTGAGTAAGACTGAAGAATCCCAGACTGTCCAGTTATAAGGCTACCCCCCCGCCCCGCCCACTCCACCAGGGCTGCGGGCAAGCTGGGCCAGCCCCAATCACGAGGTGGGCTGTTCTCCCCCTTCACACACAGCAGGGAGGGGGAAAAGGAGGTGGCGGTTGGAGGCCCTGTGACCCCCCAGCCCCCACGAAGGAGGTGACATCTCACCCAGCAACTCAGGCGCCCTCCTGCATTCTGGGGAGCTGGGTATGGAAGCGAAGGGGCAGGCAGCTGGGGCTCCAAAATCCTGGGTCAGAGGAAGGTGGGGCTGGAGGTCCAGACAGAAGAATGGGAAGGGAGGGGACATTGTAATGCATCCGCTAAAAGCCTAGGTTTTGAGAGTGAACTCGGTTTTAATCCTGGCTCCCTTTTTGGATGTGACCTTAGGCACAGGCGAGGGCCTCTCTTGAGGCCCCATTACCTATTTGTGAAATGAAATCCAGCACTTTCCCCTAACGCATCGTGGATCCCAGGGGTTATGCACGTACCGTGCCTTCCACCAGGGTTTGAAGCATTCCTGCTGCCCAGTTGGGAGGGCGGACTCTGGAACCCAACTATCCGGGCTTAAATCTGGCTCTGCTATTTGCCAGCTGTTTCCTAAGGCAAATGACCTAGCCTCTGAACACCCAGTTTCTTGGTCCACAAAACCCGGGAAATTGCTGCATTTACCCCATCGTTTGGTGATGCAACAAGCTACTGTATGTTTGAAGTACCAAGAACAGTCCCTGGCACACAGCAGGTCCTGTTAGAGCCATCTGCTGCGGAATGTTCAGTCACCCTCCTACAGTCTGCTTATGTGAGTCCTGGCTTTCGACAATTGAAAAACTGAGGTTCAGAGCTGAAGCCACACAGGAATGTCTGGAGGAGCTGGGATTTTCTGGTCCCTCCAGGGTATGCAGCGCTCCTGAGTTGCTGGGCGAGATGTCACCTCCTTCATGGGGACTGGGGGGGTCACAGGACCTCCAACCGCCACCTCCTTTTCCCCTCCCTGCTGTGCGTGAAGTGGGGAGAACAGCCCACCTCGTGACTGGGGATGGCCCAGTCGGCCTGCAGCCCTGGTGGAGTCTGGTTAGTGTCTTCCACAGGGTCAGCAGAGGTCCCAGGAGGGGGAGCCCCGGTGTCAGCCAGGGTCAGGCTTGTTTGCTTTGGCCCTCCTGGCAGGGAGCGGGGTCGGGTGGCTTCTCTGGCTAACAAGGGATCTCTGCCCTGCAGCGCCCCCAGCCCGTGTACATGGGGGTTGGGGGGCGGCAGTTTCAGTTCCTGTCTGGTGGGTCTGAAGTATGTTTACGTGCGCCCTAGGTGGTGAAACTTACAGCCCCTTTCCAGCTTCAGCTGACTGAGGCTTGGGGGACCCGGCCCCACCCTGACGCCCAGGCACCCTAGAGCTGAAGCCTTCTCCCCTGCAACTTGCAGAAATGGGATTCCGAAGCCTTTCCAGTGTTTGAATCCTTGGTGAAATTTGAGAGGCCTGACCTTTCCATCAGAGACAAGTCCTTACACCTCATCACCCCCGCCTCTTCTGGAATCCAGAAAATCCCAGCTTGTGCTCCATCTCTTGTGCACTCAAGACAGCGTCCCTGTTGCTTCAGCTTGCAGGGACAAAGTCCTCTGCAGCCACTGGCCAGGCCAAGCTGGGTAAGTGACCCCAAGACCGCAGCCTCCTGGTGGGGGAAGCCTGAAGTCCCCGGCATAAATCATCGGGACCATGTGTGATCCTGGGCCAGGCCCTTGCCCTCCCAGCTGGACAGGATGTGTTGTTGTTCAAGGCGCCAGCCCTGCAGCGCCTCCTACTGGCCGCTGTGGAAAGGCTGGGCTGGAAGGAATGGGCAAAGGGACCAGATATCCTTAGGAAAACAGGCTTCCCATTCCACTTTTTTTCATGTATATTTTTTGTTGTTTTTTTTTTCTTTTTCTGTAAAATGTCCTGGTTCTTCCATAACTTATAAACATGATTCATACCGAGGGGTGGGTGGAGAAGTGGGCAGGCGCGGGCTGACTGGGGATGGGGAAGCTCCTCTTCTGACCACTCAGGGCCGGGCCAGGGCCCTCTGCGGGCATGGGATGTTCCAACACCTTCCTGAGGCTGTCTGGCCACCTCTGCCCCCCGTGCTCCGAACTGGCATGCCCCTCGATTCTGGAATCCCTCTGGGACCCCAAGCCCACTGGACACACTGCCCCTGTGCTCTGAATCCTGAAGCGTCTGTGGTTCCAGAGTCCCCCTGTCAGTTGCTGGGGGTCCCCTCCTTTCCACTGCCCCCCGACCCCCGAGGAGGGAGGGAAGGGAGGGGGAGGGGGGCTCAGGTCTCCCCTCCTTGGCTGGGGAGGGGGAGGGGGGGTCTGGAGTAAGGGCGTGGAAGGCAGAGGCCAGGAGGAGCTCAGCCGATGGTGAGGCCGAAACCGCACTGAAACTTGTTCTTTCGGTGATTCAGGAAGGCCCCGAGGGCCAGCGACAAAGGCAGGGGTGGGAGCTTCTTCTCCAGTGTGGCGCCCACAATCCAGTTACTGTCCACGGAGCCTGTGGGCAGACAGCTGTGGTGAGAGTCATGTGCTGGCATCCCATGTCCCCATGGAGTCACACTCCAGGCCACCTCAGGTTACCACGGGTCAGCCCACTGGCTTCTAGACCTCTGACCACGCTCTTCCTGCCCCCAGAACCTCTTCTTGTACCCCTAGCTCTTCAGCCCTGGGAACACTGACATTCCTTCTCCCCCTTAGCCAGCAGCTCGGCCGTCCCTCCCCTGAAAAACTGAGGTTCAGAGCTGAAGCCACACAGGAATGTCTGGAGGAGCTGGGATTTTCTGGTCCCTCCAGGGTATGCAGGGCTCCTGAGTTGCTGGGCGAGATGTCACCTCCTTCATGGGGACTGGGGGGGTCACAGGACCTCCAACCACCACCTCCTTTTCCCCTCCCTGCTGTGCGTGAAGTGGGGAGAACAGCCCACCTCGTGACTGGGGATGGCCCAGTCGGCCTGCAGCCCTGGTGGAGTCTGGTTAGTGTCTTCCACAGGGTCAGCAGAGGTCCCAGGAGGGGGAGCCCCGGTGTCAGCCAGGGTCAGGCTTGTTTGCTTTGGCCCTCCTGGCAGGGAGCGGGGTCGGGTGGCTTCTCTGGCTAACAAGGGATCTCTGCCCTGCAGCGCCCCCAGCCCGTGTACATGGGGGTTGGGGGGCGGCAGTTTCAGTTCCTGTCTGGTGGGTCTTAAGTATGTTTACGTGCGCCCTAGGTGGTGAAACTTACAGCCCCTTTCCAGCTTCAGCTGACTGAGGCTTGGGGGACCCGGCCCCACCCTGACGCCCAGGCACCCTAGAGCTGAAGCCTTCTCCCCTGCAACTTGCAGAAATGGGATTCCGAAGCCTTTCCAGTGTTTGAATCCTTGGTGAAATTTGAGAGGCCTGACCTTTCCATCAGAGACAAGTCCTTACACCTCATCACCCCCGCCTCTTCTGGAATCCAGAAAATCCCAGCTTGTGCTCCATCTCTTGTGCACTCAAGACAGCGTCCCTGTTGCTTCAGCTTGCAGGGACAAAGTCCTCTGCAGCCACTGGCCAGGCCAAGCTGGGTAAGTGACCCCAAGACCGCAGCCTCCTGGTGGGGGAAGCCTGAAGTCCCCGGCATAAATCATCGGGACCATGTGTGATCCTGGGCCAGGCCCTTGCCCTCCCAGCTGGACAGGATGTGTTGTTGTTCAAGGCGCCAGCCCTGCAGCGCCTCCTACTGGCCGCTGTGGAAAGGCTGGGCTGGAAGGAATGGGCAAAGGGACCAGATATCCTTAGGAAAACAGGCTTCCCATTCCACTTTTTTTCATGTATATTTTTTGTTGTTTTTTTTTTCTTTTTCTGTAAAATGTCCTGGTTCTTCCATAACTTATAAACATGATTCATACCGAGGGGTGGGTGGAGAAGTGGGCAGGCGCGGGCTGACTGGGGATGGGGAAGCTCCTCTTCTGACCACTCAGGGCCGGGCCAGGGCCCTCTGCGGGCATGGGATGTTCCAACACCTTCCTGAGGCTGTCTGGCCACCTCTGCCCCCCGTGCTCCGAACTGGCATGCCCCTCGATTCTGGAATCCCTCTGGGACCCCAAGCCCACTGGACACACTGCCCCTGTGCTCTGAATCCTGAAGCGTCTGTGGTTCCAGAGTCCCCCTGTCAGTTGCTGGGGGTCCCCTCCTTTCCACTGCCCCCCGACCCCCGAGGAGGGAGGGAAGGGAGGGGGAGGGGGGCTCAGGTCTCCCCTCCTTGGCTGGGGAGGGGGAGGGGGGGTCTGGAGTAAGGGCGTGGAAGGCACAGGCCAGGAGGAGCTCAGCCGATGGTGAGGCCGAAACCGCACTGAAACTTGTTCTTTCGGTGATTCAGGAAGGCCCCGAGGGCCAGCGACAAAGGCAGGGGTGGGAGCTTCTTCTCCAGTGTGGCGCCCACAATCCAGTTACTGTCCACGGAGCCTGTGGGCAGACAGCTGTGGTGAGAGTCATGTGCTGGCATCCCATGTCCCCATGGAGTCACACTCCAGGCCACCTCAGGTTACCACGGGTCAGCCCACTGGCTTCTAGACCTCTGACCACGCTCTTCCTGCCCCCAGAACCTCTTCTTGTACCCCTAGCTCTTCAGCCCTGGGAACACTGACATTCCTTCTCCCCCTTAGCCAGCAGCTCGGCCGTCCCTCCCCTCCAGAAACCCATCTGCCACCCCACGGGCTCTCTCGTCCCAGTCATGTCCCACCAGATTGTCCCTCTCCAGGGATGGGTCTGTCCCCTGCACTGTGAAGACAGGGCCCAGTCACTGCTGTCTCCAGTACCCGGGTGCAAGGCTGGGCACAGAGCAGGTACTCAGTGTCTGCTGGGTAAAGGCTGAACTCTCAAGGGAACGGGGCACCAGAGCCTCACAGATGAGCAAGTGCGTGCAGCTGTCCCTATGCGGCAGAAAGGGGTGTCAGGCGCTTCATGGGAGCAGAGAAGCCACAGAGCTGGAACTCAAACCCAGCCTCTGATACCGGGCTGACTGCAGTGAGGGGTCAACAGGCAGCCTCAGAGGCAGATAAATCCCTGGGCCTGGTCACTGCCTTTTGGAGCCCTGCCCCAGGCTGACTGCAGCAGCCTTCTGGGGCGGTCTCTACACACCTCAAGCCTGAGAACCACCGAGACCCAAGAAGAAAGACTTGAGACTGGACATTGGGACTAGAGTTAGTCAGCCTGGGAGGAGGTTCTGGATCAGGCTGTGACCACACAACCTCCAGGCGCCTGTTTCCCCTCACGTGAGATGAGGGGTGGGCTGGACACGCTCTAGGCTGCATTGCCCCCAGTGCAGGGAGCAGGACAGGGCCAAGGGCTCAGGCGAGGAGGCAATGTGGTGGGTGTGCAGCTCTGGGCCCTGGCACCCACCTTGACAAGCATCCCAAGTAATTTGGAGGCCCACAAAAGTCCCTGGCACGCTGGGCTCTATCACCTTCTTTGGCCTTCACACCCACTCTGGGCTGAGTTACCTCTCATCTGTTTTCCAAGGAGGGAAATGAAGGCCTGTACCTTTGAAGAGGAGGTTGGCTTTGGGCAGGTCCAGCTGGTACCCAAAGGAGACACTGGTGTCCTGCATCCTTGTGCTGGCCTCAAACTCCACACCCACCTGGAGCTAGAGGGGCCAGGGCAACACACAAGACTCAGCTTCCCAAGCTGAACTCCCGGGCACAGCAGCCCAGGGCAACAACCCATGCCTGGACAGTGCACGCCTGTGGCCACTCCCTGGACTAGCTCACCTGGTCACTGGCTTTATGGTAGTATGTTGCATGCATGCTCGCCTGGCCCAGCGTTACTGTTGCCAACCAGTTGTTCACTGTAAAAGAGCAGGGTGGGGTATAGGGACAGGTTACCAAGGGGACTTGGGCATTTGGAACACAGGTCCCCTTCCTCCCTTAGCCCCAGGAGTCCCAGCCCCCAGCCCTGACTCCTACCCTGGGGCCCCAGGCTCACATGTGTATTTCCCAGCTAGAGACATGACAGTGCCCTCCTCCCCAGGCCGCCGGTGGTAGATCAGCTCTCCGCCCAGGGCCAGACATGGCGTGATGCTCTGGAGGTAGTGGGCCACGAGGATTCCTGCAGACAAGATGGCATGGTGTTACCCTGGCTTGATGGTTGGTTTCTGCTCAGCCAGGCTGCCAGGCCAGACTCCTGCTCCAAGCAGCCTTCCAGGCTTGCCTCTGCTGGAGGCTCAGGGCCTGTCCTCAGGCCTCCCACACGGGCTCCCTGCTCAAGCAGTTCACAGCGGGCTCTGAGGTCAGTCTCCCAGGCCCTGTGGGACCCCATCTGGTCTGCACAGCCCTGTGAGGCCAGCAATCATTCACTACCATTTAGAGGACTCCAGAGGCTGAGGGAGTCACTCACCATGGTCACAAAATGTGTCAGGGGCAGAACCCAGGCCTCCCCACCTCCCAAGCCTGGGCTCTAAACCACTCTGCTGCTGGGAGAGGCAAGAGGGTGGGGTCAGTGAAGATACCCCCAGCGGCCCGAGTCTGGGTTTAAATCCCAGCCTGACTGCTTTCTGGGAGAGTAACCGTGGGCCAACAGTGTCACTCCTCTGCAAACAGAACCAAGCCTACAGGAGGGGATATGGGGGCAGTACCCGTGGTGTGCCCTGTGCTCAGTGATCGCTGCGACCCGCCAGGCTGAGGCCTGCGTCCTGGCAGTTAAGGGGGGCCCCGAGGCCCCCGTGTTGGCTAAGAAGGGACTCTCCAAGACCAAGGACCGAGGTGCACCCATGCCCATATGCCTATCTTTGGAGCCTAGGAGAGGAGACACCACAAACCAGATTGTACAGGAGGGCAAGAAGCAGGAAGGAAGAGAGTGGGCAAGGCAGAGGGAATGACAGGGAAAGTAAAAACACGGCACACCTCTGTAGAGAAATGGACCCATAATCATAAATGTAGGGACGGAGGGACCTACGGGCAGACTGAGCACAGACAGGCTTACGAGGTCACAACACAGCCCGAAAGAGGAAGACCCGAGGGAAGGGGAGGGCGGGAGCACGGAGTGCAGAGGCGGGCAGGAGTGAGGACAGGGTCCGGGTCGGCTGGGGCCGGCCCCTGGGCGTTCCTTCCCCTAGCAAACAGGTGCCACGAATCACCTCCTCAAGCCAGAAGTTAAACCACTACCAGTACACCTCTGGCCAGGCTCTTCAACTCATCCAACGGATGCGGAAACAGGCCCACGGAAGGTAAAGTAACCGCCTGGAGGCATTGAGAGATGGGGCCTTCAACTTGGAGTCTCTGGCCTCTCAGCTCTGGCAGCTATTGGGACCGAGGGGCCCCTGACCATCTCTCGCCCTCCCTCCTCTCTCTGGGGCCTGCCCTGTCCCCTGCTCGCCAGCCCTGGCCTCCGCCCATCTCACCTTCTCCAAGCAATTTCATGAGCAGAAAACAGAGACCTTATTAAAAGCATACATCTGACCCTGTCCTTCCCCTGCCCAGAACCTGCCATGGCTCCCCAGTGCCAAGGAGACCCCACTCCTCACAGTATAGCTGCAAGTCCCTGTGTGGCTCAGCGCTAGCTTCAAGCTGAAGTCACTTCCTCTTCCCGGACACAGCCGGCCATGCTTGCCTCTAAACAGCAGGAGCACACGGAGCCCTCTCCCCTCAGGCCTGGGCACACGCTGCACCTTCTGCCTGCCTGCCTGCCGTACCCTTCCCTTTCCTTGGTTGACCAACTAAATACTTGCACCTGAGGACTTCCTGGATTTGGCTACTTCTTCCCAGCATGCCCGACTGGAGCTGCCATCGACCCGGGACCATGGCAGCTGCTCCCACCCTGGCCTCCCTGCTTCCACCCTTGCCCCTTGCAGTGGCATAGGACACAGAAGCCACTGGGAACCTGGGAAAACTAATGTCAGCACTGGGTCTCTACTGTATCTGAGTCTCTCTCCTGGTCCCTACATGCCCGGCAGAACCTGGCCTGTTCCCACACTGCACCCCATTCTCTCTGCTGCCCAAGCACATTCCCTGGGCCTCTGGCCTGTGCCCACCCTGGCATGGGGTGGACTTCCTGCGGGAGCTTATCCATCCCACTAGCTCCTCGCAGGCCTTTTTCTGGCACCCCTTACCCCTTCCTGTACCTCCTTCTCCTGAACATGCCGCTTCTCCTGCTTACATCCAGACCACCCCCCCACACCACGGCATATGGGCTCCCCGAGGCAGGGGCTTTGTCAGGACCAGTGGTTCTCAACCAGGGGCTGTTTCTACAGCGTCTGGAGCAGCGAGGAAGAGCCCAGAGTCTAAAACTGTGGGAAGGAAAAGAGTGTGAGTGAGAGGTCTGTGAGAGCAAAGACAGAGCTGTGGGCAACGGGCAGAGTCCAGGACGTGCGAAGGGAGACCTTCTTCCGGGCCTGTATCCCACACCTGCTGCACAGCAGAGAGGTCTCGGCCAGACACCCCCGGCCCCCGCTCACCTCGGGCCCACATCAGGTGTCCCTGGGTAAGTTGGCAGAAGCAGATGGCAGGCACCCAGGGCAGCTGCTCAGGTGGGGCCAGCACTGGAGAGGAAGGTGGTTCTTGGCCCCGGCCAGGTAGGACCATCTCCCTGCCCTCCACACCCCAGGTGCTCAGAACGAAGCAGGGGCTCCAGAGGAGATGCGTCCATGGGGAGGGAAGCAGGTAAGAACACGGGCTGTTGGATTTGGCTGCAACTCCAATTCCAGCTCCTGCTTTTTGGCCGTATGATCCTGGGTGCTCACTTTCACCTTTAGCCCTTGCTTTCCTCATCAGTGAAATGGGGGCCATAAAAACAGACACCTCTGCCCATCATGGGGGGCCATGGACACCCAACAGGGTGAACTCTAGTCATGCAGCTAGCCCTGCACTTGGGGCTGAACAAGGCTCTCCCACTGAATCCTTCAGGAGGTGGTCACTGCTTCTGTGCCCTTGTGACAGATGAGGAAACTGAGGCTTGGAGGGGTGGAGTCACCTGGGTCCTGAGTCAGAGGTGTCAGTGGCAAATTACTCATGCTTAGCACTGACGTGGACCCAGCAGGCCCTGTTTCTATTAGGATGATGCTGGTGTTTCCAGAGGCTACTGGTGCCAGAGGGAAGAGCCTGGACTCCAGAGTCTGAAATGCTGGGTGTCCTTGGGGAAGAACTTGCCCTCTCTGGGCCTCAGTAAGATGGGGATAACAGCAGCACCCACCTCACAGGGCTGTTCAGAGAATGCAATGAGCTATTCCCCTCACTGCTCTATCCCCAGTGCCTAAGGTGACTGGACAGGATGAGTATCACACACTTAGGGCCTGAAGAGGGGCAAGAGGTAATCAAGGGAACCTGCCACTAGTAGCACCGAGGCCACTGTTCAGCATTTCCTGAGCCCCTACTCTTTCCGGGCACACAGGTCCAGGCACTGGGCATAAAGCAGTGAGTAAGGGAAGCAAGTTCCTGCCCTGACAGAGCTGATGTTCTAGCGGGGGAGATGGGTGATCGGAACAAGATGACTTCAGAGGAAGTGCCACAAAGAGCAGAGGGTGGGGTGACGCAGTACGAGAACACGTGCATCGCTCCAGGTGGGGCTGGTCTCCTCGCTGTGGTGATGCGTGCCCAGAACTCATTCACTCAGCCACAGCAAGACCTGGAGCCTGGTTCCCAGCAGGAGGCAGCAGGTGGAAAGGCCCTCTGGGAGAAGGCCTGTCCCCTGGCTTTGGTGGCATGGCCCTTCCTGCTCTCCACACCTTTCCGTGGCCCCCCTCCTCAAAGAGCCGAAAGGAGATCCCTGCTCCGAGAAGTCTCCCTCGCACTGGCAGGCAGAAGGCTCTCCCCCGGCACCCCAGGGACTCCAGCTGCTTGACTTCACAGACTCACTCCCTCAGCACGCACTCCCAGGAGCCGGCTCTCCACCACAGGAAAGCAGGGTCAGCAGCCCATCCTTCCAGCTCTTCAGCCAAGGCCTAGTCACCCAGACTCCTCTCCCTCATCTCCCATGGTCAGCCCTTCCGCAGAGCCCATCGGCTCCTTGCACTGCCCCTAGGGTGGAACCCCTTATTGTCCGTTCTCCACATGTCCACGTCAGGGGTCCTTGTTAGAAGCTAAGTCAGAACCTGTCTGTGCCTCTCGTGCTCAAAACTCTCCAGTGGCCCGACTCAGCCAGAGTAATGGTTGATGTTCTCGAGAGCCTTATGTGACCTGGCCCCATTAGCTCTCTGACTTCTATCACTCTCTCTCCTCCTCGATGTTCCTGTAAAGGGCCCTGCCTCAGTGCCTTGGCACTTACTGTTGTTCCCTCTGGCTGAAAAGCTCTCCTCCCACCTGTCTGCTTGGCACCTTCGTGCACATCCTGTCTTTGTTCAAGTATCACCTATGTCAAGAGGCCTTCTCTGAGGACCCTCCCTCCCCAAGGCCCTAATCTTTCCATACAGCCCCCAGCACCTCACATCTTTTCTACACGTGCTGTCTTAAACCTGGGTCTACCTCCACTGGAATGGAAGCTCCCAGAACAAACTTAATTCTCTCTGTTCACTGCCTAATTCTCAGTGCCTGGAATACACATAGTATGCATTCAATATTCACGATGAATGTAGAGAAATCCAAAACAGACACCCAGAGACCACTCCCACTGCTAATGGAAGGGGGAACCAAGAGAGACTAGAAGTACAGACAGAAACCGCGAAGTCCTGTCCCCAGCCAACCTGAACAGGCTGACTTGTCAGCCTCCATCTCAAATACCTGCCACCCTGCACCTGCACACGGACCCTGCCGGGGGTCCACTCTGTGTGCCACAACTACCCCAGAGCCTTCTGGGTAATAAGGGCAGCTCATATTATTGCCACCTGAGGTCAGCAGGGACAGCCCTATTGGAAATAATACCTTTCTTTGGGACCTGTTACCTGCCTCATGCTATTAGCAGCTTTGCACATGGAAGAACTTATATGACCTATTCAACAATGCTGCAAGACAGCCCAATTTTACAGAGGGGGAAACTGAGGCCCACAGACGTGATGGAACCTGCCTGTGATTGCAGGAAAGCCAGCAGCAGGGCTGGGGTTTAAACCTACTTTCTCATCCATGATGCTCTGTTGCCTGACACTGCAAACTCACACCTGCCCCTGCCCGATTTTCAAATGGTAGCAAAGGAGGTCCAGAGAAGAGAAGGGACTGAATTTGCTGGTAAAGCTGAGACTGGGGTCTGACCAACCTCCCAGCCCTGTGCGTCTTACCTGAACCCACCAGGACATCTGGGTTCCCCAGGGTGATGGCTGCTGTGAAGTCAGAACCCCGGTATTCCCCATCCACCTGCCAGTTCACAAACTTTGACTGCTGGGTCTGTGGGGGAAAGGGGGGAGTGTGAAGGCAGCCTGGGGCTCAGGGTGGCACGGGGCAGTTGACTTGACTCCCACTCACCTGGATGGCCACCTTGGACCTGAGGCCGGGGCCCAGCTGATGAATGGCTTGAGCGTTGAGGCTGCCGCTATTGTCCATGTCACCCACCAGCACAGGGAATGCCTGTGGGGCAGAGGGCACGGTTAGAGCCAGGTGCCCAGTGTTAGGGAAGTCTATGAATGATGGGTGGAGGTGAGAAGCCTGGGATCAGAAAGCCTCAGACTGAGGTTCCCTCTTCCAGGAAGCCCTCCTTGACCACCTAGGCTTAGTCAGGCTCTGGGCTCCCACAGCCTTCAGGTTCCCCACTTGGGCCCTGCCCACCCTGGAATGTTACTCTCTGGGGACAGGTCTGTTTTCTCTCTCTCTTTCTACTAGACTGTGAGCTCCGTGGCTGTTTCAGTCACTGCTATGTCCCCAGTACTGCCCACAACAGGGCTGGGCACAGAATGGGAGCACAGTAAAGATTTGTTGAATAAATGAATTTACTGGAATAGATAAGATGAGACCTAATTCAGTCTCCCACTCCTCCTCTATCCTGCCGCAGCCTCCTTGTAGGCCTCCAGCTTTGTCTTGGCTCCCTGAACCTAGCCTCTGCACAAGCAGCCTGAGGGAGATTTCTAAAGCAGAAACCTGATCATGTCTTTCCCTTGTTCAAATCTTTCCATGGCTCTACAGCGCCCTCTAGAGAGAATCCAAATGCCCAGTTTAGCATTCAAAGCCCACCATGGTCTATATAGCCCAGCCTGTCTACTCTGGGTCATCACTGTCTGCTGATCCTGGGGTGCTCACCCCAGTGTCTACAGCCTTACGGGAAGGGGCAAGGAGCAGAGCTGCAGGATGAAGGAATGACCCCTGCCCCGAAGACCCTTGGAGAGACACAGCCCCACCTCCCTACCCCCTCAGCAGCTCTGACTTCCTCCTGACAAAGCCTCCCCAAACTGTTTGGTTACATATTTGTTAAAAGAAAGACACGATGCAGTGACTGTAATGGGGTATGTGGGGGGGACTTGATAATAGGGGGAGTCTAGTAACCATAATGTTGTTCAAGTAATTGCACATTAACGATACCAAAAGAAAAAAAAAAAAGACAGGATGAATGACCAAAGAACCTCACCTCTGTGGGGCTCAGCTGCTTTGTTCCGACATACGTGACCCCGAAGTGGTAGTTGGACTCCCCGATTGTGCTGAGGGCTACCGTGTGGTTTACCTGGGAGAAGAGGGAGGGCTGTAGGGATAAGTCTGTGGAAACCCCCAGCCCTGCTCCCCTCCAGCCTGGGATGGGGGATAATGGCCAGTCTGGCCTCCCCACCAGAGAAGACTGGGAGGTGGCCTGACCTTATTAGATACTTGAAGACTTGCTGGGGGTGGGGCTACATACCTGGTACTGCGCTCCTGCCTGGATGTTATGGAATGGGAGGTCTCTTGGGTTTCTGGGTCCCTAAACACTACCACTGTCCCCACTAAGCAGTGAACCTGGCACTGTGTCTCTAAGTCTTTTTAAGTACCAATGAGCTCAGCCCTTTAGGGAGGAGTAATGGGGTTGTGTGTGCAGATGGCTGGGATATCCTCTGGAGGGTAAAAGCACGAGGAAGGCTCACCTGGAAGTGATTACTCAACCCTTTGTTGACTGTGAGCTTGACACCTTCCATCTGAATGGGGAAAAGCTCTGAAGAAGAGAAAAGCTGTCACACTCCACCCTACACACACACTCCACCCTACACACACACACACACACACACCACACACACACACACGCACACCTCTGAAGAAAAGCTGTCACACTCCACCCTACACACACACTCCACCCTACACACACACACACACAGCTCTGAAGAGAAAAGCTGTCACACTCCACCCTACACACACACACACACACACACACAAAATCATCTCTTCCTTCCCTACTATCTCAGTTCTCCCTTCTCCAAGGACTCATTAGCAGAAGGTTGAGGTAAGTATCCCAACCAGAAAAGAGGCAGTACAGCCTAGCAGATGGCGCCAGGATCATTGCCTGAGACCAAATCCCAATGCTTCTGTCTACTTAACCTGTATGACTTTAGGCAAGTCACTTTACCTATTTATATCAAAGACGTTATCCCTAGAACGAAGATGCTTACCACATGCCAATATTGCAAAGATTTAATGAATTAACATACACCAACTGCCAAACAGTGCTCATAAATCTCCACCATTTCTACCATCAAAAGTATTCTAAGCCAGGATCCAGAAGCCTTGGGTTCCAACTCCGCTGGACCCTGCCGACACCTTACTGACACTGTGACCTTGGACCTCAGTTTCCTTCCTAATCACACCAGGAGGCTGGCTTGGCTGACTCCTGAAGTCCCTAAGGCTTTTCTCTACCGCTACGGTATTTCCTACTGAGGTTCCACCACTTGACTGCATCGTTCTTAGCCCCAAGTCCAACGTTCCACCATTCGATCCCAACGTCAACTCCTAACATTCTGTTAAGTAATTTCAATGGTCCTGTGCCAATTCCCAAGGTCCTTAATGTGCTCCCCCTTCCCCCAAGATCCGGGCCATCACACCCCCTCCGGGTCCCTCGCCCCTCACCCTTGCACTTCCGGTGGCACTCCTCGAACGTGCCTGGGTTAGGCAAGCAGCCACAGGCCCCATCGGCTGCTGTCCCTGCAGCGCTGGCGGCCGCAGGCCCGGGGGTCCGTTCAGAGCCTCGACCCGCGCCGGCGCCAGCGCCAAGGCCACCCCCGAGCGGCGGCAGCGTGAAGCCAGGAGGAGAGGGCGGAGGCGGCGGCAGCCCCACGAGGGCGGGCGCAGGCGGCGGTGGCGGCGGCCCTGCGGGCAGCGAACTTGCGGCCAACACATTGCCCATGGTCACCTGCAAGGGGAAAGGTCAGAGGGCGGAGGTCAGGGCCCATACGCTCCTGGACCAGACCCCGGCCAACCCCCGTTCTGCTCAGGGCCCCGGTTCTCACTTGCGGCACCGCCTGCTCCCGGCCTGGGCTCCGCACCCACCCCGTGCGCCACGCGCAACCGAACCCGCTGCCGCCACCGCCACCGCCGGCGCCCCGCCCCACGTAACCCATTGGTTTAGCATGCTCTGGGGGCCGCCCACCAGCTTCAGGGCTTAGCCTTGCTATTGGAGTCATGCCTGGGCGTCCCACCCACCTCTCTGGAACGTCCGTTTCTATTGGCTCCCACTGGCAGACAGATCAAAGAGCACCTCCCCCCTTCCCATTGGCTCTTGGGGCCAGCGCCTATTGGCTTGCGACGCCGCGGGTTCCAGTGCTCTCCTGCCATTGGTCTGTGCTGAGCACGTTCCACGCCCCCTGACTCGTCGCCTCCGCCCTTCTCCAGAAAGGCTCCCCTCTTTCGACTCCGCCCCGTGGCCAAGTTGCTATGATTGGTCGGCCTTGGCCCTTTTAGTATCCAGATTGGCTCCAGCGTCCGACCCTGGTGACGTATCGGCCTGGTGCTCTAATTGGCTAATATGACAGGGTCGAGGGACACGGGTAAAGGTCGGTTGCGCGGTAGAGGCTGCTAGGCAGCAAGGTCAGGCCTCGCGTCCCAGCAGGCGCCGCGGCAGAGGGGCAGCCCCTGGTCCGAAGTGGGCCACCGAAAACCGGAAGTGCTGGCTCTTACCCACAGTACCTCGGGAGCATTCTAACCGGTTATATGAACCCTGTGCTGCTGCTTGTTACCCACAATACCCGCCACCAGTTTAACGCGACAGTTGCCGTAGTCCCACCCACCTCTTTCGTTACCCATCATGCCTTCTGCTCCCTTCTATGCATCACTGCGGCTATTTTGGGCCCATTCATCCCTGTCCCATTACCCATCATGCATCCGCCCCATTCATTTCACTTCATTGTCTTTTTTTTTTTCTTTTTTAGTCTATTTTTACCAGTTCACTTCCATCATTTTTCTAGTCCTTCTTTAATTAGCCATCATGTTTTGGGTCCATCACCCATCATACCCGCGGTTCCACTTTCTCCATTATTCATCCCTCTGCCTCCTGCTCGTTCAGATGTCTTACCCATCATGTCCTGAGCTACTATTAGAACATTATTCATAAGTTTGCCTTTGGCCTATGCTACTTACCATTTATCCAATAAATCTGAGCCCCTCGTACTTAATTACTGCCATTTCTTTCTTCTGTTCATTTCTGTCCTTACCCATTAGACTGCTGTGCACTGGTTCCTTTTCATTAACCACCATTACCTGGACTAGTCCCCCCATCCTTCCATTAGCCATCATGTTTTTGGTCATTATCCTCTCATTGGTTATTTTTCTTTCCTATCTTTGGCCCTCTTGGTAACCCATCTTGACTTTGTAGTCCACTGATTCCCTCAAGCCCCGGAACCCCTATTCATTGCCCATCATGTACCACCCCATCCCGTTTCATTTAACCACAGAAAACACGAGTTGAGACCTGGTCAAAGTATAAATTCCTATTTTGTAAAACAGTAATATATTCCCTATCCCCAACCCAGGTGACCCGCTTTCCCCTGCCAGGGAGATGTCTGGGTCCCATCCCACTGGGCAGGAGTTAAAGGGATTAGTAGTCTTTAAAGTCCCAGCAAATTCTCCCCAGGCTGAGGCCAGCAAGGCACACTCTGCATGAGACTCTGAGCTGGGGCTTAATTCCCTATAGACAGGAAATAGGGTGGTGGGGGCTCAGGGATGGGTCTGGACGCTGAGACTCCTGCCTGCAGGAGAGAGGAGATGGGAAGCTCTGTCTTGGGCTGGGGAATCCCCTCCCTCCTGTCTCTAGGGAACAGACAGGGTGGGAAGGAGGGCGTGTGGAACTCTGCTGCCTGGAGGGCTCAGGTCTGAGCAGCAAGGTGCTCTCTATGCCCACCCCAGCCGAGCTATTGGGAGTTTACTTCAGAGCACAAATCAAAAGGTCTGAAGTCTTCTTTGGGATTTGTGGGGAGTCTGGAGATGGTGGGACATGAGAGGTATGATCTAAGGTCACAGTCTTAGGAGTCCTTGCGTCAAAGGACATACCCCCCACCGCCTCATGAGATAAAGTTACCCAGTTTCCATTGTCATGGCTGGTTTCTCTGGATCAGAGATCATGGATTAGGGGCCATAGTGGAGCCACCAAGGTAGAAGTCACAGATGAGGTGTGTGTGTGTGTCTGTGTGTGTTAACTGACATGGCCTGGCCAGGGATTCAAGGTAGAAGTCACAGATGAGGTGTGTGTGTGTGTCTGTGTGTGTTAACTGACATGGCCTGGCCAGGGATCAAAGGTTAGTAGATCCCTAGATCTAGTGTTGGCAGAAACTTGAGGGACCAAGAACTGAGAGGTGAGAGAACAGGGCCATGGCAGCTCACACATACATGGCCCGGGACATGACAAAGCCTTTGCCCTGGTAGGAATCAGGGCTGGAGTAGGACAGGGCATCGTAGATGGGGTTGATCTTGTCCAGATAGCTTTCTTTCTCCTCCTCCTCCTCCTCCTCCTCTAAGTCCAGGGAAACCCTCTCCACAGTAGGCAGCCCTGGAGGCGTCAGGATAGGGGATCCCAGGCTCGAGACCCCCAGAAGCAGGGGTCCGGACCGCTCTTCCAAGGTGGGCAGCTCATGGTATCGAGGCATTTCCTGGGAGTGGGAAGAGGAAAGGAGCCCAAGGTCACCTCCTGAGCATGACACAGAATGGCAATCTGTCCCTTGACCCTAAAATCCTGACCATCTCCCCACGCCAACCAGACCCGATCTCACTGCTTGTCACCTGGGTCAAGATTGCACTGGGATAATCATATGGCTCATTCCTAACTCAAAGCCCAGGGCATGGACCTCATGCTGATAATTCTGGGTCTCTCCTTTGTCTTTTGATCTCTGACCCCAAGTTTTTCCCCATGAGACTTTGACTTCAATCTTGACCTCAACTACTTAGCCGTAAGCCCTAAATAGTCCTTTGAACCTTGACTTCTCTCAGCCTCAGTATCTGACCCCTGACCTCCAATACACCATTGAGGGAAAGACTTGTCTTCTCCCAGCTCCAAGTGCATTATCTGGCAAATACAGATGTTCAGCCAGTCTTCACTGACTGAGTGACTTTAAGGTCTAATCTCATGGCTGTGGGCTTTTTTAGCCATGACCTCTCTCACTGAATCCTAAACATATCTTGATGCTCTAAACTCTGACCAGAGACACAGCCCAGATCTTGAGTTGTGACCTTTAGTCCTTGATATCTTATTTCAAGAACTGACCTTTGGTCCTTAAACCCAGACCCCAAACCCACCCTTGTCCACCCCTGAGCTCCTACCTGCTCAGTGCATGAGACGCCAGCATCACTGTAGGGGATCTTGAGTGGGCTGTGCTCAGAGGCCCCCAGGGTGAAGAGCTGGGAGGGCTGTGGGGTAGAGGAAGCGGCAGGTCAGGATGTTCCTCTGCACCCCCCCCCAATGACCATCTGACCTCTCCCCACCAGTGCACCCTCTGAGCCCTGGCCTCAGTGGGGAGAAGTGAGTGTGGAGGTGGGGGCAGCCTGGGGCTCCAGGGGCACTGCTCACCATCTCTGGCTCCGCCAGCTTTGCCTTCGGGGTCGGTGGCTTGTAAGAGGGAGGTCCCTCCAGGCTGTGGAGCAGGAGGAAGGTCAGCAGGAGGCTCAGACCTGAGAAGCCTTCCTACCCCAGGGTCACTGCACATGCCCTTCTCCCTGCGTGATCTCCTTGCCCACTGTCCCTGCCCCAGCTTGCTGGCTAACTCCTACTCATCCCCATGAATTTCTCTTCTGCCAGGAAGCCTCCCTGTTTCTGCAGGAGGGTCAGGAGCTCCTCTTATATTGTCATATCTAGCTGTACTTCCCTCTCAGGGCACGTACTGACTTTGTATTTGAAATACTATTTCTGATATCATTCAATGAGTGTACCGCACGGTGAGCAATGTGAGGGAAAAAAATGAGATCTGTGTCATCAGCAATGTTCCCAGAATCCACTATGAGGAATTCAGCAAATAGTTGTTAAAAAATGCGTAAACAAATGAAATGCTTTCTTTTCCCCCACACTATATCATTCTACACACCCACAGACCAGAGCATCCTGTGTGCTTACAATGCTTCAATACCCAGCTCAGGCGTCCTCTTCTCCAGGAAGCCCCGACCCTCCAGACTGGGTCAGGCGACCCCTCTGTCCCCTGACAGCTCCCTCCCTAAGCTTCCCTAGCCCATCCCTGGCCATGCTGGACTGTCACTGTCTAGGGATGGGTCTGTTTCCTATAGACTGTGAGCCCCAGGAGGGCAGCACCAGGGCCATCTCAGTCACCACTGGGTCTCAGCACAGGGCTGGGCAAAGAAGAGGTCACTCATAGCAAGTTGTTAGAGTTGACCAAATGATTGAGACAGTCGTTTGTAAACTTTCTTGTACATCAGAAAAGCTTAGGGGGCTTGTTATAAATACAGATTGTGAACCCTTCTTTTAAAAGTTCTGATTCAGTGGGTTTGGTGTAAACCCAGGAATCTGCATTTTAAACAAGTGTTCCTCCCACGCCTACTCCCACACTGGGTAATGTTAGTTTAAAATCACTTTGCCCCCAAAAGGCTTACTTGCTGGAAGAATTTCAGCAAGTGATTTTAGCTCTCTGAACTGGTTTCCTCTTTGATAAAATAGATACCACTAACTCCTGTGAGAATTTATGTTTCCATGATGTATTTGTACGTGCGGACACTTTTTAAATGTTTGTCTCGTCATTGCATTCCTATCCTCTAGGTCCTCGCCCTGAGTGGTGGGAACTTTCTGAATACTTGCTCAATTAATAAGTGGATGTGAGGCTTCACCAAAGTCACAGACGTAAAATACATCTTGCTAAGCCTGCCACGTGACAAGTGCTCTACACAGAAAAGTGTGGCTAGTTTCTCCCAATACCCACTCCTTCCTCCTCACAGTAATAAAGATTTTAGTTGGGCACATGGCCACCCAGAATAAAGACTACATTTCCCAGCTTTTTTTTGCTGCTGCGGCAGCCATGAGGCTAGGTTCTGGCCAGTGAGGAGTGAGAGAAAGTGGTGGGTTCCCTTATAGGGGTGGCCCTGTATTTCCATTTCCCTTTCCCACTGGCGGGCATGAGGACTTTGAGGCCTGGATGGCTATGCCTGGTCGTCGACTACACGGACACTGATAGAAGAGTGGGGAGCCATCTCGGATCATGAGCCATTCTGTCGGGTGGAGCAACAGGGCGGCAGGAGCTTGGGCTGTGACGACTTCACAGAGCGGGGCTGCCACACCTATGCTTTATAGGAGACGCAGATACTCTCCTCTCCACCCCATTCAAGTCATGGTTCTTTTGGGTGTCGCTATCTCCCTCACACAGTCATTATGGATGATTTTCTCCCACCCTGTGCTCTCCAGTCCTGGGACCCCTCCCCACCCACTTCTCAGGGCCCATCACTCACGAATCTTCCTCCTCTGCCCCCTGCAACCTCTGCTCCTTCCGCTGTTGCCGGCAGATGAGGATGCCTGTGGCGGCCACAGCCGTAGCAATGATGGCAGCAATGATGCCCCCAATAATGCCACCTGTGGCCCCTGCGCCCGCTGTGTTGGGGGTCTCTGCGAGGAGAAGGACAGTGTAAAGGAATTTTGAGGGGGAAGCCATAGCTCCTTAGTCCCAGTCACTGCCCCCCACCCCATCCCCAAGTCACCACCCACCTGTCAACTTCCTCTCCCAAAGGCAGGAGACTTACTTTCATTCACCTAATCCTTACTGAGCATTTGCTATGTGAGGGGTGAATAAACCATGCAAAAGTCTCCACCCCGTGGAACTTATATCCTAGTTGGGCAGTATAAGAATATAGCACTTTATCCTGCATTTACCCCATGGTCCCAAGCACACAGGCCGGTGAAAATCATGTCCGGCCTTGCCTCACCTTATCTCTGAACATTCCGCCCCGCCCCTAAGGCAACAGGACAAGCGGTACTTTTCCACTCCGCCACTACGAGAGGCACAATGCGCTGCACCTCGAGGCTGCTCTCTCTCTGGGGGCAGCCCTTTTCTCTTTAAGATAATAAAATAACTTGCATAATGTCTCCTGAGTCGTTCTGGGGTAAGGAGGGGCGCGGCGAGATACCCTTTCAGGCAGGAAAAGCAACAGTGAATCAAAATCAACAGCAAATATGCCAGGTGGCGGTAAGTGATACAGGATAAAAATATGCAGTGGGGAAGGTGATACGGAAGTGATGAGACAGGGCCCCTCAAAGGTGGTCACGGAGAGCCTCACTGTGTGGTGACATCTGAAGGAGATGCAGGGGGTGAGCCAGAGAATATGAGAGCATTCCAGACAGAGGGAAGGGCCGATGCAAAAGGCTCTGGGGAGGCGGCCTTGGGCTGTTTTTAAGGAACAGCAAGGGGCCCCTGCCTGCAGGGAACGGTGATGACGGGGAGAGCGGGGAGATGGGGGAGTGGCTGAGGCGGAGCTAAAAGGCAGCGAATCGGCAGGTATTCTGCAATTGGAGTCAGAACATTACGGGAATGGAGTCATCCTGGGCAGGGCATCTATGTGATAATATGAGTTGTAAGAAACATATTTGGTCATTCATATGATCAAATATGTACTTCCCAGGTATATCTGGTCTTGATCCAATTCCTGAAAACACTGCAGAGGCTCAAAAGTGAAACAGGTGTCTTGTCGTGCTAATGAGACTTTTGGACCCCCACCCACGGGCGGGGGCTGCAGGCTGAATCAGCCAATGGCCAATAGTTTAGTCAATCATGACTATGCGATGAAGCCCTCACAAAACCCAGAAGAGCTCGCTTCGTCTCTGCTGTGCTTTTCCTGTTCTGCTCTGTGGGTCCTGCTTCTTGGTTGGGGAGCTTCTGTACTTGGGGAACCAAACCGCCTCCACATGCCACTGAGCCAGGCCCCAAGCTCCACAAAGAGAGAAGCTCCTTTATTTGGGACCTTGCCGTATGTCTCTCTTCATCTGCCTGTTAACTTGTATCCTTTATGGTATCTTTTATTAAGCTGGTAAGGGTAAGCGTTTTCCTGAGCTGTGAGCCCGTCTAACAAACGAATCGAACATAAGGGGGAGGTCATGGGAGCCTCCAATCGGTAGCCGGTAGGTCAGAAGCACAGAGAACTGCCTGGGGCTTGTGGAGGGCAGTTTTGTAGGACGGAGCCCTTAACCTGGGAATCTGGTGCTGCCTCCCGGCAGACAGCATCAGAACTGAGTTCTCCAACACCCTGCTGGTGTTCAAGAATTGCTTGGTGTAAGTATGTGTGGGAAGACCCCCCTCCCACATATTTACACACATTGGAATCAGATCCGGGAACCAGAATGAAGTTACACTACTGTTACTGCTGTGTATGATATTGTGACTGTTACACATATATGTAGGGAAAAAATACACCATTGCATTTGGTATTGGACGGGTGGGAATCACGACAATTTAGCTCCTCCAGCCTAACAGGAAAAGGGATTGAGAGAAGCTTGTGGCCCCCTGGGCCTCTCCTCTAACACACCCCACTTCCTGAAGTCCTTATTGGAGCAATGACCTGTTTACCTGCCCATTTCCACCTTAGACTGTGAGCGCCAAGGTGCAGGGTCTGGCACACAGTTGACATTTGCTCGATGTGAGGGGTCCAGCGTGGGTGCTCAGGGACCTGCTGTATGCGATTGATGCAATGCCCCAACCCCCTGCCAGCTGGCACTACCCTCCCATTGTGGGGAGGAGGGGTGGGAGACTGGATAGGGTGTACAGATAATAAACTGAGGGAATAACACGCGCCAAAGCTCCGCCCACAGGCTTCACCCTTCTGCCGCCCCCTGCACAGATGAGGAGATAAAGCTGCCCAGAGAAATGAGGTCTGCATCCAGGGACTATCCGACCGCCTCAGCTTCCCGTTGCCCAGCATGGCAACCTCTGGAGGGCTTCAGAGCGTGGGGAATAACCGGGTAATTACTGCTCAGTCCACACAGTCTTTCTCAAAGCACTGTTATCCCTGTTATGGACTGCGTGCCTGGGAGGGCAGGGCTGCATCTGCCTGAGTCACCAATGTGTCGAGTCCCTTGCAGAGTGAGTGGAAGTCAGTTCCGGGGGAAGGAGAGAACTCCCCCAGCCATGCCTGGCTGCTCAGCGCCGGACATTCCAGGCAGAGCCTTACCAGTCCCCGACAGCCTCGGGGGCAGAGATGAACACTGAACACCCCTGTGTTCCGGAGGTGCCCTGGGGCTAGAGGGGCAGAACCCTGCCCCTGCCTCCCTCCGCCCACCCCTCTCAGGCCCAGCCTGGGTTTAGGGGATGTTCTAGTTGGAGGGAGAAGGGATACAGAGCTGCAGCTCCTCCCCCTGAATCACTGAAAAGCCCCCCAGAGTCCAGCGCCAGGGACCAGGAAAGAGGAAGAAGGCCAGGAAAAGCCTCTGCCTAGTGTGGAGAGGTAGGACTTTTCCTGGCTCCTCGGAGCCCTGTGTGCCCACTTTCCCCACCTGCCCCATACCCTCGGAGCCCCAGAATGCAGAGGGCAGCCCTCCCTCCCCAGATCCTCAGCAACCTCAGGAGGTGGGGTCTGAGCTGCCGCCCCAGGAGATCACAGCGCCCCCGTAACCCCCACGAAGGCCCGGGAGTTCAGGCTCCCAATCCCACTTTCCTGGGGACCCGGATGGAGCGCAGAGACCAGAGACGAGCATCATGATTAGTTTTCCAAAAAAGCTGAGATACGAACAATGTAGTAAGAACCAGAAAGATTCCTTCTTAAGGCTAAGATTCTATTTTAAGAACCAGGAAGTTAGGAAGTAAGATTCCTAACATATTCTTTAGCAAACAGACAATAACTCAGCCCATTTTGGGGGCAGGGCGGGTGGTCTTTGTTCCCAGAGGGAAGCCACTCTCCTGGGGAGGCACTGGATCAATAACTTTCTTGTGTTAAGTTTACTTTGCAGAATTACCTGGAGGACATACAATAGAGGAGAGGAGACATAGTGTCTCTCACCAGATATCAGCATCTTGAGACCACTTACAAGTCTACACTCCTTCGCCCTTAGTCACAGTCCTGAGAAGTGCTTATAAGAGGGGACCCACCCCAGCCTTTTAGCGCACCTCCTCTCTGGGGACACCACACTTTCTCTCTCTTTAATCCAGTACCTTTAAATAAAACATTCTCACTGCTCAACTTACTGCGTTTTGTCCTGTCTGAGCTTTTCCAGTGGTAAAGCTCTTTCTCTGCTATTTCATTCTGTTTCTAAGTTTTCCCTTAGTCTCTGCTTTACTCCTGGTAGGTAGGGCGGGGCTGCTGAGAGCTCAGATCTGGGCCTGCGAGTTCCCGCCGCCCGGGTGACCCTGAGCCGTGGGCTTCCTCTCCCTCCTGCGCGTTCCTGCTCTCAGCTGCCTGCAAGGCCACTCTGCTCTTACTGTCATGAATTCCTTCCTTTCTTACGCGCTTCCAACCTGCTCGAGAACTCTTTCTCGTTCAGTCAAGAATCCTCCCTGGTCCAGGCTGAGGTTCCACCTGGTGGGCAGGGAGAGACCTCCCCAGACGCAGCTGCCCAGCCACAGGGTGAGCTCAGGGCCCCCACCAGTCTGGCCACTCGCTGGGAAGTCAGGATCTACTAGAGACCCCCAAGTCAAAGCACCCTCGCCTCTGAGCCCAGCACCCAGTGACCGGCTTCCCAGGCCACAGGCCTCAGGGGTCTCGGGTATCCAATGTGTCCTTCGAGGACCCAAGTAGTCAGAGCCCCCGGTCTCCCCTAGTCCAGCCACCATTAGCCTCCCACGCTGGGGACTTAGCAGTCCCAGTCCCACCCCCACAGGGAGGGGCTCTGATGTGTATTACAAGACACCCCCGATGTTTTCCTCCCAGGTGTTTATTAACTCCTGAGTGTCAGGGGGCTGGGGCAGACCAGAGCCTCAAACAAGTCTCTCTGGGGAGCCCCCGGGGCCCTGTTGTTGAGACCCCCTGGGGCTTCCCCTTCCCCAGGCAGCCCTGGAGGCAGAATCCCAGTGTGTGATTCTACCTCCCTTCAAATCCTAGGTAACTGGGAGGTAGCATCTGAACTCCAGTGCCGTCCGGACAAGTGAGTCCAGCCAGTCTGGAGCCTTTGGCGGGCACGGTGGGCTCCGTCTCTGCCTGCCTGTCCCGAACTCACACAGACCGTCCGCCATAAGATGAGGGAGCCACCCACATGGGACTCCGTGTCCTCAAGAGCCAGGGGCAGAGGCGACGATGGGCCTTCCTCTGCCCTCTACTCTTCCTCCCCATCTAACTCGTCCTTGCCATCCGGCCTCAGGGAGCCAGGGGCTGCTGGCATTCAGGAGACGGGGCCTGCATGCCCAAACAACCGAGTTTTCAGATCGTAGGATCCTCTTCCACTGCCGTCTCTTCCCCCTCCTCCTCACCCTCAACAGGATGAAGGCCAAGGACCCCCCCAGGCCAGAAGCAGCAGCCCCCCACACCACTGGACCCACATCTCAGGGTGAGGCCTGAGGTGTCTGAGTAGAGGAAGGGTGAGAAAGAAAGGGCGACACGCAGTGGAGGGGATATACCTGGGGGCGGGGTGGGAGGGGGGTACACAGGACACAGCAGGGGACATAGCGGGGGGACTTAGGGGGACAGCCCTGGGCAGGAAATGGAGCAGGGAAGGGAGAACCATTCACTCTTCCCTACAGGCTGGGGGCTCTATACATGGAGGGGTGGATTCCAAGGTGTGCCTCCTTATACCTGCACAGCGGTTTTCAAAAATTAAACTTGCTAGCCAACATTTCAAAAACCAGGAGATTGCACAGAAAAATCCAGGTTTCTTTTAGGGAAAAAATAAATCAGATCTGGCAATATCGAACTCTTAAATCTCTCTTGGGTGGTAGCTCAGAGAAGGCTGGTCACTTAGATTGGAACAGAGTTCCACACCTGGCCACCGGGTCACTCGCCAGGACCTCATAGGCATCTGAGTTTGTGACCCTCTCGGGACGTTCTAGGGTGTGGGGTCCTCACAAAAGCTCTGAGGTCAGCATCATGGCTTGGGCTGGGTCCAGCTAGGAAGGGGCACAGCTGGATTTGAGCTCGGGGCTGTCTGGTTCCAAAGCTCTTTGCACTTGAGAGAAGGGGGCGAGGTAATTGCTGGTAATTTCTCAGGAGTAGCTGAGAACAACTGGTCAAGGTGGCGTGGTCCGCCTCCTGTCTGGGCCACGTGTCCCCAGTATGGAAAATGGGGTTCATGAGGCCCATTCTCCTGACTTCCTCTAGTGTTCTCTGTGGGGGCTGAGCAGGTGGGAGGGGAGGGGAGCCAGGGAGTGCTAAGGGGGCGTGTGAGAGAGGAGAGAGAATCTGGGCCGCACATCAGAGACAGACATCGGTGCAACTGGAACCTCCTCACATGCAGCCCTCTCCCATCCCTGCGTGCGGACCAGGGCCTCCACTTACACCTGACCTCCCCCCACCTCACAGGAGGAGCTGGGATCCAGGCTCCTGAAGGCGTCTGTTTCTGGGTGTTTTAAGAGTCCCTACCCAGTGGGCTGTCAAACCAGCTGTATCTCGAAGCGGCAGTAAAAACTGTACAATAGTAAAGGTGTATTTGAGTCTGAAGGGTAAGTACTATTTTGTGAAACATTTTTTTGGGGAAATATGTCTGTACCTGAACACCAGGTGGAGACAGAAAACAGGTTTCTTACTGTGAGTGCTTATCAAAAATGTCTGGAAGCCAGTTTTAGTGTATGTTGGAATGTTGGTGTTTCTGGCGGTGGTATTTTGGAGATGGTGGGCAAGTGTGTTCATGAGTCTGTGGGTCAAAAGTTCTCTGAAATCTCCCTGAGGCAATGTCTAGCCTGTGGCGTGGCCCGTGTACCTACATGTGGGCTGGAGTGAACCCAAAACCTGACTGCATGTCTGGGTCCATGTGTGTGTGTGGAAATGTGCTGTGTCTCTGACATCCTAGGAGTGGTTCTCCCAGGAGCTGAGTGAGTTTTCTCTCTGGGTGAGACTATGTTTGAGACACTTGCTGCTCTGACTGGATCTCTGGTGTACTCAATGTCCCCATTTCTCTTGGTGTCTACCTGTAGGCACCTGTCTTTGGATGGTAATTTTGACACCATGTGGGTCTGTGGCTACCTTTGAGGGAGTCAGGGGTGTCTTTCTATAGTGGTGTCTTTCTCTAGAGGTGTGATTCTGTGTGTATTCCCCTTCCCCGGGTTCCATCACCACTGCAGACCCACGCACCCAGAGAGAGGTAGGGGCCATCACAGGGCCACGTGCGCCAAGACCAGACACATGGCCTCCAGGGTGGGGACATGTCTCCTTAACGCCATGGCCAGTGGGATGCACATCTGCAGAGATACACTGTGCTTCAAGATGCACTGGAGTCCAAATAGACACTCACCCCAAACACAACCCACACATTCAAACCCACTGCCCCAGGACACACGCCCTGAGAGAGCAGGGGCACACGCTGAAAAAAGCCAGGTGGTGTCGGGCCAGAGCCCATGAGTCTCGGGTCTCTGAGTATGCATTTCACTGGGTGGATATTGCCAAAGGGCTCAGCTCTGAAGCTGGTGTGTTCTCTTTGGGGGTGTTTCAAGCAGAAATATCCCTGGGGTTTGTGTGTCTGGGGGGTGTCCATGTATTTTTTGTGGTTGTGTATTCCTCCAATAGCCCTTAAGTGTGATTGTGCTGGCTCCGCCCAATTCTACTGACTGAGTGTAGGTGGGGAGACCAGTTTCCCAGGTGTGTATCTGGGGTGGAGGTTCAGGGGGGGTATTTCCAAATGGCATGTTGCTAGGCAGGTGGGGCTGACCCCCCTTCTGGGTGTGCCTTTGAGTGCAGGGACTTTGTCTTGTCCACCATTGTATTCCCAACATCAGGGAGAATGCCTGGCAAAGAGCAAACTTGAGCAAATATTTGCCGGATGACAATCTGTTGAAAGAATCTCTCCAACAGGTTTCTGGAGAGTTCTGGGTGTGCACCTCTGACAATGTCTTTGAGTTCCTTTCTCAGCATGTGTGTGTGTGAGTGACGATGCCCTCATGGGTGGAACCGCTGCTGTCAGGGACTGTGCTTGCTTCCAGCCTGTGTCACAGTGTCTCCCGCAGGGTGTGTGTAGTTGTGCATCTGAGTGTGTCCGCTGTGCTGAGGGTGGGCCAACTGTCTCTCTGGGTGTGCTGATTTCTGAGTAGGTGTGCCTCATCTCCCTGGCGGCTGTCTGAATTCCAGAGGAGGGGTCTGGTTTCACCTGGATGTCTCCCCAAGCGCGTGAGCGTGCATGCATGTGAGTAAGCCTGTGTCTCAGTACGGGGGGCGGGGGTCTGTCTTTCTCTCCAGCTGAGGAGTCTGTGTGTGTGTGTGTGTGTGTGTGCGTGTGTGCACGCGTGTGCGCACATGGCCCTCTTCACATTTATTCTGAGAGTTTGCCTTTGGTCGTCTTTCTGAGGGGGTCGCTCCTCCCAGCCGCGGAGGCCACCATTCCTGGTGGTGCGTGTTCACACAGGCACGCTGCGTGGACAGTCACCCGGGAGGTGTTTACAAGGATGGCTCTTTTCAGGTACACGTGGCATTTCATGGGCTCTGGCCTGACACCACCTGGCTTTGTTCAGCATGTGCCCCTGCTCTCTCAGGGCGTGTGTCCTGGGGCAGTGGGTTTGAGTGTGTGGGTTGTGTTTGGGGTGAGTGTCTGTTTGGACTCCAGTGCATCTTGAAGTACAGTGTATCTCTGCAGATGTGCGTTCCGCTGGCCATGGCATTAAGGGGACGTGTCCCCCCCCGGGGGCCATGTGTCTGTGTCTTGGTGCACATGGCCCTGTGATGGCCCCTACCTCCCTCTGGGTGCGTGGGTCTGCAGTGGTGATGGAGACGCCCTTTCCATCAGCCTGTGGGCCACACGCCTCGTCCGGTTTGTTCTCTTCCTCTCTGGCATGTGTCTCGGGGCCCATCTCAGTCTGAGTTTACATCAGGGAGACCCAGAGAACTTTCAACCCACAGACACATTGGCTGCCATTTCCAAATTACCACCGCCAGAAACACAAATGTTCTGACACACACTAAAACTAGTTTCCAGATGTTGCTTGATCAGCACTCATATAAAAAAACCTGTGTTTCTGAGTGTATTTCTGTTGGTTTCTGTCCAGCTGCTCGACACCTGTCTCTCCTGCTGTTGGTGGTGTGATTCTGTGTGTGGGTCCCACTGGCTGGGGCCCCGGGCAACGTCCCTGGGTCTCTTCCCGAAGACCCTTTCCGGGCTCTGCCAGGAAGCCCCACCTCCTAACTCCTCTGCCCAAGCCTGGCCTACCTCCCCAGTGCAGGGCCTACCTGCAGGCAAAAGAGGAAAGTCACGCCCCCCTCCCCACCCACCAGCGAGGCGGGTCTGGGTCCCTCCCCAGGCTGGCGGCACAGCCTCCCCGATGCAGTCCCAGCACCCAGAAGGGAGGAACATGTGCGGAGCAGACCCCGTCTTCATACCATCCTCAACACCCACTCACCTCGAACTAGGACCACCTGCTCGGC